AATCTGTGTGCTTGATCCTGTTTTTTGCGACAGGGCTCAGGAGCTCAGGGCTGGAAGGGCAGAGTAGGTCAGGTTTTGCCTCAGCTCTTGCAAGGTTGGGGAAATTCGGCAGCCTCTGTGCCTCAGTTTCTCTAACAGCTTGGAAAACACAAGCAGTGGCCCTGCCATGTGTAGCCAAGGCAAGTGTAGTGACACGTTATTTCTCTATTTTTGGCCACAGTAATTATTTTAAAATGAAGGAAACAAATGCTGGATGAAGAGATGATGCAAACCCTCGCACTCCATTGCATTGGCTCAACATTTTTGATTCCCGTGGATGAATCTGGTTCTCCTGTAGCTGGCAGATTGGTAACGGTGGTCTGAAACACTTCTGAATCATTCTCACTCCCTTTCTTGACTTGCAATTCAGGCTTCGTGCTGTGCACTTCAGCTCCAGCCCAGGGATGGTGCATGCAGCCCTCTGGGAGGGCTGGGCTGCAAAGCCTCTGTGCTTTTCTCCCGTGATTGGGATGAATCAGAGGTTGAAGTTAGCACCCTGATGAAATCCTCGAAGAACAAGCAATTCTGCATGCTCATTACTCAGTTCTGGCTATGTTCTGCTTAATAACTAAACAGTAATTAGCTCCACAGTTTTGCTACTATACTTATAATAGCCCCCATTAAAGTTATGGGGATTTTAGGCAGTAATGGCTTACAGAGTAATTAATGAGCAAGAGGTTTTTATTACTACCTTTATTTTTAGCCTGTGCTTTACGAGTCTTTTCTGCCAAAACCCAAAATCTTAGACAGAGGCTTGTCGTGCCCATCCCCTGCCATGCAGTGTGGAGAGGAGGAGTGCGACCAGGCTTGTGAACGTGGTGTAGATTCAGGATTTGCTGGGTTGTGGTGGCTTGAGAGGGGCTGACCAGCTCTGCCTTGTGCCTCTTCTGCATCAGTTTTCAGCAGCGATCAGAACCAGTTACTATTTTAAACATGAAAGAAACCCTACGTTTAGGTTTAGGGGCTACTTTGCTCAGGGGGAAAAGCTCTAAGTGAGAAGGTATTTTGTATCCTGAAGTACGAGGGTTTGTTTTCCTTGTAAGGCTTTTGTTGTAGGATTTGGCTGTGAGTGTTTGCTATTTCCTGGCTGGTTTGTAAATCGAGTAAGTGTTTGGTATGTTTGTTTGGGTTTTTTGGGGTGTGTTTTTCCTACATGGAGACAATGTTTCTGTTCCAGTGACTTACCTATATATACAAATTCACCTTCAGCAATTATTTAGTTTAACGTGTTCTGTTCAATGTGGGAAAACCAAGGAGTAAGGATGCTGGGGCTGATCAACCCCAGAGGAAGAAAGAAGGTAAAACTGGCTATAAACCAGATCACAGACCAAATCAGTGTTTCCTATGGTAGGTGTCAGAGCTGACGCCGATCAACTTGATTTAAAAACAGAACCTTCAGCGTTTAATAATCCAGCACGTTACCAACACATGGCTACAGGATTTATCAAAGGATTTTGATTAGATGAGTGCCCTTTTAATATTGTCACGCCTTGACACCATTGCCCTCTGCCGGAGGACGTGAAATCTCCTTCACCGTGTGGCACAGCCCTTCTGCTTGCTGCATGGCAAAATGCATTTCTACAAAGGAAAGTCTGTCCAAACTACGCTGTAGAAGCATTTTAACCCCAAAATTGCTTACATTCGAGCTGGTGATTTGTGTCTTTTGCCCGATTTTTCAAAGCTGAAAAAAAAAAAGGAAGTATACTTTCTGCAGTGGAAACTAGAAGTTGATCTCTTTTAATTAATTCATGTTTAAATTCGTCCCTCCTCCTTCTTTTCCCTGTGGAGGAGGAGATAGCAGAAGCTTAAAACTGATGATCTGAACAAAGCCAGGTTTTGTTTTGAACGTTTTTCGGTAGGAAAAGGAGAGCGGTGTTATGATGGGGCAGGGGTAGAGCGAATGCCTTAAAGAGGAGCATAATTTTCCCCAGGCTGAATTTTGGCTCGCCTCACTTGTGCTGTAAACAGCAGCAAAAAGCATCGCTTGGCCTCGGTAGCAAGGGATGTTTTGGATGCAGGGCGAGCCCTCTTGTCTTGGGCTGTGAAGCTGTGACTTCTCTCACCAGCAGTGTAAAATCGCAGGCAACCGTGTATTTCCTAGCTGATGTTGTTCACAGGAGAAAATGGATTTCACCTTTCGCAACTTTAATGTGTGACGGCGAGGGGGGAGCGTGGCTTCGTTACATCGAGAACTGGCGTCGCCCTGCACCGAGGCCCTCGCTTGCATTAGCGTGATGGGAGGGAGCACGCCTGAAATACTTCATCTGGATCCACATTTCACAGTGCCCACTAATTAATTACAGGAGCGTTAATTACGGGGGTATCTGGTTCACACTGCAGCCCACAATTATTGCAAAAGTTGCTCGGTGTTCCGCAGGCCCCCGGGAGGACATGGGGAGGAATTGTCCCCATGGCCGAAAGTGTCCCCAGGAGCTCTCTGCTGCCAGCCCGAGCAGAGCTCTCTGTGCTGGGGCACGAGGGGGCTGTGTTGGCCCTTGGCAGCTGGAGCACCAAAGTGACAGATGATTGACCAGGGAGCTGCTAAATGCTCTGTAGCAAATTAAAAGGAATCGACGCCGAAGAGCCCGATGCACAAATCGTTGGAGCCTGCGCTTTGAAGGGATGGAAATCAGAGTAGCACCCTCACCCAAAGGTGCCCGTTCTTATACGAAGCCCAGGGTCAGGCTGTGCTATGGGAGGATGCTGCCAGTTCGAGTCTGGATTGGCAGGAGGCAGGGAAAAGGCACTTTTAAGGTAAGAGCGCTGTGTTGGGAGGAAGCTGCCCTTGACAAACGGGGCATTTGATGCGTGCCAGCCCCCAGCGGCAGCTTGCCAGCTGCTGTGAAAGGGCTCCGAGTGGCTCTTTTACCATGTCGTTTCCTCCCACCCATCTCCAGCAGCAGAGACCTCCCCTTGGTGCATTTGCAGCAAAGACACTTTACCAGGCAAGGTGTTCAGTCTTTTCAGAGCTGCCCCTTATGGCTCTGCCCTACAGAGATGCTCAAGGGACATGTTCTGGCTTTATTAGAGGATTCAGAGGATGCCAGCGCTTGGTGCCCTCTCTTCAGGCACTGACAGCAACTGCGGGGGCAGCAAGGATGAGGCCAGATGCTCTTTCCTGAGGGCACTGTGTGCTTTGGCAGTGCTAGGCCAGCGGGATTTCTCTGGCTCTGAGAGCTGGACAGGGATGCAGCAGAAGGCTGATGTTTGCTGGATAAATTCCTCTTCTTCCTGCCTGTTTGTGGGGTTTTTTTGTCGGCATGAGGCTGCTTTCTCCTGTTCTGAAAGAAACGGGGACAAATCTGCATTGCTGGGAGATGCTTCCCTGAAAGTGTGCAGGGTGTCTGGCTGCACAGAGCATATCCTTGGGCTGTGAAAAGCCTTTTCCTGCTGGTTCCCCATATTTGACTGCAGGAAACCCTACTTTTCATAGAACCAGATGTGTTTGGTGGTTGGTTTAGGGGTTTGTTTCCTCTGGAGGCCCTAAGCTCCCTCTTACCACCTCACTAACTGCACCTTGCCCTGATGCCCATGAGGAGGATGGGTCCCCAGCTTCGTGGATGCTGACACTGTGATCTCTGCACAGGTTTTTGGATGAGAGGTGGCAGCTCTAGAGTTGAATGGAAATTTTTTGATGAGTCAGGTTGTTGTACGTGAATCAAAAAATGGATTCGCTGAAGGTTTTCCCTACCTCTGGTTCCCCCTGGTAAATTACTACCTCTGATTGAAGTGCTAATTTGGAAGAGCCAGGTTCTGTCCAGCGACTTCAATATCGCTTGTGTGCACTTTCAGAGGACAACCTGTCAGTTCTTGGAGCCGTTTCACTTCAAGCCTTCCACTGGGCTCGGTGCCGCAGCCTGGCTGTACAGCCCAGTGGTCAAGGCACGGCCAAGGGAAATTCAGATCATTCCAAACTGAGCTGATCAGGGATTTGAACCTGAATCTCTCCGTGATTGCAACCGAGAAAAAGCAAGGATCTCAGGAAAAAAACATTTGCAAAGTAGCTTTGTATCTACAGCCCAGGCTTGAGGAGCTCCCCTCTGATTTAAGGAGAGGATCTGGTAGTTTCCAGGGCACCAAAGTGGGAGATCAGTGCTTTCCCCCAGAGCAGAGGGCTCCCTGCCTTCCACTGCCGAATCCTCTGAGCTCTCCCTTGTCTGCAATGCAGCCCTTTTAGCAGTGGGCTAATGCATTCCCCCACATGGGAACAGTGGCACTAAACTGCTACCCATGTTTGCAAACTCTCCACCATGCATGTCCCTGTAAGTGATGTACTTTGCTTGCCAGGATACTTGGGTAAAAGAGAGTCTGCTTAAATCTTGTATGTGCTTGTACTGAATCAAACTAAGCCATTGTGGCAGTTTAATACACTCCAGTCGCAAAACCTCCCGGATTGGAAGAATTGAACCTGAACAGGCCCTTGGAAGCCTGAGTTAAAACTGGCTGCATCAGAGATGCCAGTGGGATGGTCTGAGCTGCGGGGATTGCAATGATGGGCAAAATGCAGGGTCACTGGCTTGGCTGGAGCCGTATTCCCAGGAGCATAGTGACCCCAAGTGCTCTGCCCAGCAGAAGGAAAGGGTCTGGAGGCTCAGAGCACTTGATGTGTTTATTATGTGGTTATTATGGTCTCTGCTTCCTCCTAGGGCTGGGGCCTTGCAGGGGGTGCTGTGAGGCTTGGCTGGCTTGGGGATGAAGGGACCTTTTCTGCTGGGGATGGTTCAGACACTGCGGCACTGAGCAACTTCTGCTTGGCTGAAGCAAGGGCTTTGCTTGACAAGTGGATGCAAAGGAAAGCAAGGCTCAGGACACCCAGGGGCCTCTCTCCCTGGAGGAGTGGGATGCATTTCTGTCACTCAGTGCCCCAGTTTGATTTGCTCTTCTTGAGGAGGATTTGTGAACAACACGGAGCAGCTCCCTGGTACTTTTCTCTGCCTCCTCACCTTTGCTCTGTGTTGCAGGTTTCCTCCCAAATGAGACCCTGAGGTTCCTGCTGGCAGCTCCAGCGCTGTCCTGTAGAAGTGCCCTCCTGCTCCTGGTCCCAGCAGCCGAGGCCCCTCCAAACCTGCTTCTGCAATGGGTGGGTTGTAAGCACTGGTAAGACCTACGAGTCGTGTCGCCTTCGCTGCTCTCTCCCTCTCTCGCGTCCTCTCTCGCTGTCCTTGTTCTTTCTTGCCCATTTATTTCTGTTCTCCATGTGCTCTGCTGTTCTGTCTCTGGGGTTTTCACTGTCAGGTAATGAGGAGCTGTGGGTCCAGTCAGTCTTGGAGATGCCGAAGAGACGAGACATCCTGGCTATCGTGCTGATAGTTCTGCCCTGGACACTACTAATCACCGTCTGGCACCAGAGCACCATTGCTCCACTGCTTGCAGTGCACAAGGGTGAGAGAAATCAAACCAGCCCATGCCAAGCCTGTGCATCCCTCCCTCGCCCTCATCTCCTCTCTCATTTCATTTCTCCATGGCAGCCATGCTCATCTCAGCTCCCAGTCCATGCTCATGCAGAAGCCTCCCCACTTCTGCTGTGGGAACAGCCCAGTGCTCACAGGGGTTCTTCAGAGACATCAAACTCCAAGCCATGGGACATGCTGACTGCCCTTGGAGAGTTCTTTATGACCTACATCCAGAATCAGTCAAAGTACTGAAGGAAGGTGCTTTTCTTTGTTCCCTGATGGTCTATAAGAAAGAGGTCCCTTCCTGCTGGCCTTTGCAGCATTCTGAACACAAGTCAGTCCAGCAGGAAAGCTGCAAAAAAGAGAGCAGAGGAAACAAAGCTGCCACTTGAGACAGCTGCCTTGGGAGACATAAGGCAAAGAGCCCTTTTGAAGTGTCCTCAGGAATGCAGCAAACTGGTGCTCTTGCGCTTGAAGGAGAAGGCAAGAGCCAGCATCTCACCTGATTGTTTGGTGGAGTTACAGTGCTATGAGAGGCAGCTTCCACACTGCCTGTCACACAAAGCTTTAAATAGAGCTCTGGTCCTGATCAGATGAATGCAGGAAGTTTAGGGGGATCTTATCTGGCCAGAATGGTCCTCGGTTTTACCCTGTTCTTGGCATAGCAGCAATTTCCAAGGGCTGTGAGAGCACTTGGGGGCTGGAAGAAGCCACATAGCCTTCATTTGTGGTTGTGCCCTTCTGCTGAGCACTAGGGGAGGCAGATCCGCCTGGGGAGGCTTGTATGTGGGGAAGTAGCACAGCTCATTTTCCCTCTCTGGTCCTTTCCTCTGCAAGATTCTCTCCCATTTTCGTTTTAATGTTCGCACCCACCCTCCACAGTTGCTTATCCTCTTGCTGATGTGCAGTTTGAATTGTTAGAAGTTGAGGGTCTGTCCCAAGCAGCTTTACCTTTCCTCCTGGAGAGTTGACAGCCACCCACGAGGATTTGGGAAGTTCTTAAGGGAAAAATTACTGTGATCCCCTCTGGAAGGTAGACAGTGTTTCAGGGGATGAGGCATCTACTGGCCTCTAAAACAGGACTTGAAAGACTGCTAAGAATCCACTGTCTCTATACCAGTTTGATTCAATGCCCCAAAAAATAGGAGCTGTTTTTGTGAATGGTGACAGACACTGAAGTTACAGCACAGAGACTGCTCTGCTCTGACTCAGTCCTGAACTTACCGATGACCTTGGTGAGACGCTGCCTCTGCCGCTGCTTCTCTGAGCCCCCAGTGGAAAGTGAGTGGTGATAAGAGACCAACTCGAAAGCTCTTGGAAGACCTTGTTTTGTTCTTGTAATGCGTTTCTGAGATCCTTTGGTAGCAGGTGCTGCGAAAGAGATGTGCATCTGTGCGCTAGCGAGCGCAGAACGGCAGTGCTCACACATGCCAGGATTTACAGCTTGAGGGTTTGACCTGCAGGGGTTTGCAGACTGTCTCAAGCACCGTCCTGGCTAATTACATCTGTGTCTGTGTCCAATGCATTTTGCAGATTTAGTTTTGAATTTATTCCAGTGTTCTCTGCTTTCTGAGAGCTCTGCTCTGTGATGCTGATGTGCTTTACCTTATATAGGGCCTGATACCAACATGTGCAGGACACTGTCCCTGTCCCCCCCCCGCCTCCCTTCATCAATGCCGTGGAGCACGAGGCCTTCCTTCGGTTCAGGGCTGGTATCAAAGTCTGTGCTGCTGGAAGAGTAACATACTATGAAAAAAACATAGGTACCATAGGGTATGAGTACCCTGCTGGGTCAGATCTAATGGCTGTCAGTTCCTGTTCTTTCTCATCTGAAGTTCCTGGTAGTAGCTGATTTTGCAAAATCTATGGCTCAAAGTATTATGCACCCACTAGAGAGCAGCTGGCTTATATCCTGAATGGAGGTGCCCCTTCATCTCTGCCAGTTCCTGACTGAATTGCTGCTGCTCTGCAGTGGTACAGAAGTGTGAAAGTCGCACCCTGGAAAACTGACGGGTACAGGAACATTTTTTTCCCTTGAGCTGGTTGTGAACACATCTCTCTTACAAGGATCTTATCTGTTTGGATCAGTGTATCCTATATATATCTATATATGCTGTTCATTGTTCACATCTGCACTGCTGTGGCTGTTATGTTCAGAGATTGGTAGGGTCTTTTTGAGGAGAGGTTAGTCAGAGGCAGGTGAAAGTCTCTGCAGGAACAAGCCTACAGTTACAGGCTTTAATTTCTACTCTCCGTTGCTGGATTTGAAGTGTGTCTTTCCCCGCTTCTCTGTGCCCCATCCTGTGGGGTATTGCAGTTTCATGGCCAGATGCTGCTGCTGGGGGATCTTCACTGACTCGGTATTTTCCACCAGTTCCCTGCCTCCCAGCCCAGTGCCTGAGTGCAGAGCTGAGTCCTGTCCCACTGAGCGTGGTGCCCAGAGCACTGGAGTCTTCAGGAATGACAGATCATCAATCCCTGTTGCTGTTCTCTTTATCTAGATCTAATTGCCATAAAAGCCCATCTCTTTGGAGTGCTTCTTGAAGTTGCTTATGCCAAGCACTCAGCTGCAGCGTTGTCCTGGGCTCTCAGGCCTTGTTTTGGGCTGGTTTTCTGACAGCAGAAACTTCTTTTCTCGTGTGTGTTTGTCCCTGATTCCTTTATTTATTTGTGTACTTATTTATTAAAGCCTCCATCTGAGCTTGTTTCCTTTCCTCTGAAACCATGAGGGTGACCTGCTATTAGCAAGCAGCCCGCTGGCTCAGCTGGGGGGTGTTAGAGGACTGAGTCCATGCGGCTTTTTCTTCTCTCTTGTACCCTTGCTCAGATGATGGTGGTGACTCCCGGCGTGATCTCGCTGCAGGCTTGGACTCCAAGGAATACTGCTTGTCGGACCGGGACATTGTGGAGGTGGTGAGGACAGAATATGTTTATACCCGCCCGCCCCCGTGGTCGGACACCCTTCCCACCATCCACGTCATTACACCCACCTACAGTCGGCCCGTGCAGAAGGCAGAGCTGACGCGCCTGGCCAACACCCTCCTGCACGTCCCCAACCTGCACTGGATCCTGGTGGAGGACTCGCAGCGGCGCACGCCTCTCATCACCCGCCTGCTGCGGGACACGGGGCTCAACTACACCCACCTCAACGTGGAGACACCCCGCAACTACAAGCTGCGGGGAGACATGAGGGATCCCCGCATTCCTCGAGGGACCATGCAGAGGAACCTTGCCCTGAGGTGGCTGAGAGAGACCTTTAACAAAAATAACAGCCAGCCTGGGATTGTTTACTTCGCCGATGATGATAACACCTACAGCCTGGAGCTCTTTGAGGAGGTAAGACCCTGCTGGGGGGGACACCGATGGGGTGAACGCAGCAGGTTAGGGCGTGCGGTGTAAAAGATGCTGTGTACTGAGCTGCCTTCCCCTGTGGGGAGCCTTGTTAGGGTTGGAACATCACCTGTGGCCGATGTGCCTGTGCAAAAGAAACCTTGGCCATCGTCCTTCCATGCCCCGCTCTGGAGGAGGTTTTATCCACCTTTCTTCTCCACCACCCCTATGTATTGCACCTGGCTGTCTGTTAATTCCCGTTTGCTTTCGTTTGAGGAGTCCCTGGTGCTTCTCTTCCTTGCTTGCTGTTTGCATTTGTTTGTTCTCATCCCAGAGTGTCCACCGGTTAAATTCTGTCGCTGTCAAGAGCCCGGTGCTTGCTCTGCACAGATGCCCAGCTGAGGTAGCAGTGCCCTGTCAGAGTTACACCTGAATGGTAGCAGCGCAGTCACAGCGCTTGCAGGACATCGTGTTCAGAGATGCTCTGCGTGGATGTCTCTGGCTTGCTGCACACGTGAGGAGTGTGTGTTAGTCAGTGCCTGCTTCTCTCCCAGAAAAGTGGAGCCCTTCAGGCACCGCCTGTCTCTCTGCCGGGAGATGAGTGCAGTGCTCCCTCCCAGAGCTCTTCCTTCAGCAGCATTTGGGGCTGGATGGTCTCTCTGAGGCCGAGCTATCGCAGCAAGGGACAAGAAAGGAGGACTAACTCCTTCTCCACCAGTTGCCAGTTTTCATACCTATTTATTCACTCCATGCATGCCCCTTCTCCCTTCCCTGACGGCTTTCACTTGAGCTTGGATAGTCATGGGAATATACATGTTTTTAGAGCTGAAAGCAAATTCAGATTGAATGTCTTTCTTCCACAGTCCCTTTTGAGGCTGGCTCTGGCAGCAGCCTGAGACAGACACTGCACATTAATAAAGCAGAAAGGGTTCCTTCGTTCACCCGTGTGCTTTGCTCGTAGAGGCTTCTCCTCTCTGATATGTAGCTGCAGTTAAGGTCACATGGAGCCAATGAAATGTGCTGTGAAATGCAGAAGACACGCACTATTGTTCCCTGTGGACAGGGGCTGCTGTTAGCATGTGTATAATGCAGAAGGGCAAGTGCCAGAGCTCTTCTGGCCTCGTTTGCAGTAATTAGCAGTGAAGACATTAGCTCTGGGAGATCCCTGATCTAAGAGACTGGGCTGGGAGCAGGACGCGAGGCCGAGGCTGCCAGCAGAGCAGGACAGGGCGCTGGCGGGTGTGCGGGCAGACTGGCATTCACATCATCTGCGTTGGCAAGTGCAGGCATCTGGAGTGTTCCCTGCTGGCTCCTATCTATTTCTGTTGACTCTACAGGGAGTAGAGGCAGCCAGCGTTGTTCCACTGGGGAGCAGGAGCAGCTACGATGCACCATCCTGCGTGCTGGGAGCGTCTGGAGAGGCTGCACTTCTCAGCTGTCCCCGAGGCTTTGGGATACAGCTGCAGTGTCTCACTTTAAAGATGCTTTTAGCCTTACTGTGGCTCATAGGCTGAGACTGCAGCTCAAACTCCGTAGCTTTCAGACAGAGCACCTTTCTTCCTAGATATGCTATTCCTGCATTTCCAGCTGGCTTTGGACAAGGTGCTTCCCTCCTCTGTGTCCTGATTTCCATGCTTATTTCCAGCTGTCCATGTGGAGGACTGATACCCCATAGCTCTGAAGACCTTTGAGCAACAAAGCACTCCTAAATCTCAGTTATGTTTATTATTGGCAGCTTTGTTTTCAGTGCTTGGTTCCGTGGCTATCCATTACTATCACTGTTGTTAGCAGCCACTTTCCAAAGCACTTTGCTTCTCCAGCTCCAGGATGCACATCCTTGTACAGGTGAATTACGAGCTCTGCAGCTTGGTCCGAGCCACAGAGGGGGCCTGGGGATGTAACACAGTCTCTTAGCTCTAGGGTTTTGTGCTAAAGCTCGGGGGCACTCGTGCTGGGAGAGGAAGGCAGCCACCATAACCTTCTCTTTCCTTGCCTCCAGATGCGCAGCACCAGAAAGGTGTCGGTGTGGCCGGTCGCCTTCGTTGGTGGCTTGCGCTACGAGTCTCCCAAAGTGAACGCCGCAGGGAAGGTCTACGGCTGGAAAACGGTGTTCGACCCCCACCGCCCCTTCGCCATAGACATGGCGGGGTTTGCTGTGAACCTCAGGCTGATTCTCCAGCGATCTCAGGCTTACTTCAAACTGCGAGGAGTGAAGGGAGGCTATCAGGAGAGCAGCCTGCTCCGGGAACTCGTGACCTTGAATGACCTTGAGCCGAAAGCTGCCAATTGCACTAAGGTACGGGCTCGTGCGTGGGGTGTAAGGATTCTCTCCCCTGTATCTGTTCTTCTTTCTTATATTACCTCTACACAATATCCTTATTATTTTCAAGATGGGCTTATCTGTGGCCTTGCTAATCCCCTGGAGCAGGGAACTCCATAAGTGAAATGGATGTCGGTTGCTCTACATGAATTCCTGTGAGGAGTGGCTTTTTAGTGTTGGTGCTGCTGCGATAAGCCAGCATCAGAAGAGATTTGGCCCTCTGGACCCCATCTGAACTGTAACTCAGGGGTTTCTGGCTGCAGGGAAAGACTGTTCACACAATCACTGCCTTATTGCAAAGTCGCCTTCTCCCTCTTGACATCCATGCAATATCGCTGTGGCTGTCCACAACAACCTGGATTTTTCTGTGCCAGAAATAGCGCAGAATTGTTTTAAAGCCTGGGATATTGCTCTGAGCTCTAGAAGGTTTCCAGGAAGCTTCATTTCTGGGACGATTTTACTGCTGTCAAATGACTGCTAATTATTTGACTGTACACATTGCCTAGGAGCCAGCAGGTCAGGGAGCAGGACCCCTATGTGCTAAATAATGCAGAAACTCAGAGCGATGGTTTTTGCCCTAAAGACATCCCGGTCTGAGCTGAGAGACAGCAGATGGATATGTGCCTGAAATGACAGAGGAGCGAGGGAAATACAGTGAGACAATGCTGGTTAGGGTGGCAGGCATCAGTCACAGCACATCAGCAACCGAGGTGCTGTCAAGGGCTTTGGGAAGCTTTGTGAGGGGGGCCCGTTGAGCACTGCAGGTGTGGATGGGGTCCCACTGAGACCACAGACCCCTCTCATGCCTCTGTCTGTAACAGGCACCGGTCAGTCTGTATTAGGGAGTCTTTATTGCTTGATTATACCAGGAGGATTATTCTTTTTTCTGCTAATAAACTGTTACTGCCAGCAGACCCAATGTTGGATCCAGGTCTCCATCCCTTTTTGGGATAGGAAAAAATTGTTAATAATACCCTTGGTCTCTGCTTTCCATCTGCACTGCTCCGCAGCCCTCAGCCATGGAAAAAACAAGGATCTCAATGCTCAGCAGTGCTCAGGCAAGGAGTACAGGAAAAAGGAAGAGAAGCTGAGCAGGAGGAGCAACTTTGTGTATTATGTGATACCCGCTGTGCCTCATTTTTTAAACCTACATGGCTGTGGTTATGGCTGTCCAGCACTGGGATAAATAACACAGATGGTCTCCCAAGGGTGTGGAAAGAGATCAGATTAAAATTAGATCTCTGGTTTTGGGCACTGCATGCCCCACTAGCTAATGAGAAAGCACTGGCTGGAAATAAGCGTGTTTCCAACATGCACAGGTTGCTTTTAGTCTGGTCTACAGAAGATTAGGGGTGTTTACTCCATCGCCAGTTACGCAGTCTTTGATGTATCGTCCCTGCTGTAAATAATTCTTGGGAAGAAGCTGTGTTAAAAGGCTGGGGATAGGAAATGATGGCTGTGAAGGAACACATGGAGGAAAGAGAGGAAGGAAAAGGTTGTTTCCAGGCAGGAGGAACAGAAATGGTGCTGCTGTGTCAGTGCTGTCACGCGAGAGCTGCAGGCCAGAGATGGAGAGGAAGCCGAATTTGCTGGCCGGGATTTGAAGCAGACTGCATTTCTTTTTTTGGCGAGGCCGCGGGGATCCTCTAAGGGTCCTTGTTGTGAGCTGAATGCTGTCTGCTCCTGGCAAACCCTGAGTGCAGCTTTGCAGGTTGAGCTTTGCCTTGCTGCTTTTAGCTGATGCCAGCAGCCTCCATTTCCCAATTGCTGTTTTCTCACCCATTTGATAAAGAGGAGAGTCCGGGAAAGCAGCAGAGAAGGACAAAATTAGGCTATGGGTTGGGGTGCTCTTGCCCTGAGATCAAAGCACAGACTCCTTACTTGTTGTGCTCCCAGCAGTTGTCATCGTTTGCTGCTGGTAAGCATAACCATACTCCTGCTTTGCAGTGAGATTAACATTAAAAATCATGATGTGCTCAGATACAGTCATTAAGGAGGGATCAGAGAAGTAAGTAAGAAAGATAAGTGTAGACATCTGTTCTCAAAAATGCTGCCTTCCCTCTGTGCAGTGCTGGTATTCGTAATATCTATCAGAATTTAGCCCACAAATGCACACTCCTGCAAAAAGCTTAAGCTCAGGCCACAGAGATGTATCCTGCTTATTTTCTTTGATTTGAGAACTGCCCAAAATGAAGGAGAAAGTTAAGGAAGTCAGTGTTAATTGCCGAGGAGGAAGTAGAGTTATCCCTCCTTATGAGGAGGGAAGGGTTTGCTTATACTGGAGCTGGAAGGAAACGAGGCCTTGTAAGGTGCTGTGTATTTCTGTGTTCTGCTGCTCCTGCATTTCTCCCCACACACCCCCAAAGCAAACCACGGTCTGTCCAGTCCATGGACACAGGATAGAGGTCTGAGATGCTGTATTCCCATGAGGTTGGTGTAACTGGGACATACTTTGCTCCCCATTTTCTATTAAAACCTGAGGAAACAAGCTGTAGTGTGCTTGACCAGGGAGCATTGAAAGGAGAGGGACTCTGAGTGGCCCCAGCAATTGAAAAAGCCTCAGCGTGGGCTGGGACAAGAGGACAGACCACAAAATACAAGGTCACTGCCAATGAGGCGTCTCTCATTCCAGCTGTTTCTGGACCCACTTGTTTCTCTATGGACAGAGGCGTGGGTTTGTTTCGTTGGGTGAGAAAGGCTTTTGTGCACTCGGTAGCAATTCACCAGGATTGAAGTGGTGGCTGAAAGGAGTCATTCCTCCTCTCTCCTTATCTCTTGGCTGAATCAGAGCTGAGATTAAATCTGCAGTGTTCAGATAGATGTTGTGAAAGGGAATCTGCTGGCAGCTTTGTGCTGGAATGGGAATGGCTGTCTCTGAGCCATAAAACCAGCTTTGTGGGCATGGTTAATGCCCCGATGGGTATAACAGGTTGCTATCAGACAAAGGTTAGAGAATGGGGAGCAAAGAGAGCCCTCCCAGCAGTACCCAAACCCCACACCAACACCATGGCTACTGCAGGTCTTGGAACTGGCTCTGAGAGGGGAATAAATCCTTGTGCCTATGGAGGAGACCAAGCCCAGCAGGAAATTGCACAGCAAAAGGAGCCCAGATCTGGCTGCTTCTCCGTGTCACAGACCTAAAACAGCTAAAACTGGCTCAGAATGGGCAGGAGAGAGGGAAAACGTCAGCCTAAGGCAAGAAGGCTTGGAAAGGAGCACTTTGCTTCCTCCTGGTTTTACCCTGTGGTGCTGCAGGCAGCAAGCAGGGGAATCAGCTTCACGTTCCTCCTGGTTTTACCCTGTGGTGCTGCAGGTGGCAAGCAGGGGAATCAGCTTCACAAGCTCTCTGTTTTCTTCGCCTTTCAAGGCTGAGCAGCAAGGTAGGGATGGAGCAGACCCGTCCTCTTTTGGGGTAGATTATTCCTGAGATTGGGCTCCTCTTTCCGCACGGGTTTGTGACCAGTGGTTCGCAGCGAGCTCTCAGCATCCTGGCTGCTGTGTGACAACACTTTGTTGGTTAAGCCTCACACACACCCCAGCGAGGACACCAGTGCTCGAGCTGATGATTTTCCCGACAGACACGCAGTGCTTGGAGGGTTCTTTTGGCCTTGCCTTGTCCTGATGAGTCACCAGAACCGCTGTGCCAGTGCCATCCCCCGTACCACAGCTGAAAGCCGTAATTTCCATCAGAGTAGTTTGGGTTTTGTAGAGCTGTCTGCCTGCGCTGCTCCACCGTGGACCTTCAGATGCGTGCTGCAGCTGTGATAGCTCAAATTAGACCGCTGTAACCCTTTCTTCTCTTGGATGTTTTGCCTGTAATACCCATCACAAAGAAGATATCTTCATCGGTGTAATTGTACCGTTGAAGATTACTGTTTGAGCTCTGGCTCATTTAATAGCAGTGGCCACAATTTGCTCACCATATGAGAAAAGCAAGAGTTACAGGGAGAAGCAATCTGTATTTTTTTCCATACCAATGGATGTGGTTTTGGGAGAAGAGGGCCTCCACGATGCCTAAGAGAGCCTGCAGCAATGTGGTTCAGCCCAAGCTGAGAGGAAGCAAACGTGTCCTTTCAGCTTGGTGCCTCTTTCTCTTCACCTTGTGTAGTCTCCATTTCGAATAACCATTATTGACGTGAAGAAATCTGCTATGGAGATGAATCCTTGTCGTCTCTTAGCTCCGTTTTGAGTCCTCTGATTCCGAGTGGCAAGGCTGTAAGTGGTTGGGAGTGTTTCGCAGCAGTAGAGGTTTTTAAAGGTGACTCCCGCAGGTGAGCCATAGGAAACCACTGCTCAGGGGAATTCAGATATTTGGGCCCCCTCGCTGTTCACTCCCTCGCAAGCCGCACTTTTTGCACAAGCCCGAGCTTCCCTGAGGCATAAAACAAACACAGCTTTTTTGGTGGAAAAAAATCCAGCAATTGGCTGAGAGGAAAAGCAGGTGTTTCTGTACTGCATGGTGATCTCGCTCCCACGTTAAAGAACACAGCACAGAAACCCGTAGAAGCTGCTGTATCAAGCTGCAAACTCTGCAAATGGGTCCATTTCAGCTAATTTAATAGAACTGTGGTTTTTGGCACTTGGCTTTAACAATGCAAAAGCGGGATCCAGCTTAAAGAAAAGCTAATAACACGTAGTCGTGGGCTTTGGTTTGTGGAGTACGTTGCTTGGAGTTGTTTAAATGTGAGCCCTGTTGCCGGCAGAGCGCAGCCCTTGGCCATCAGCAGGGACACCTCTTCATGTGCCAGAAGTGGAAAGCGCTCGTACCTGCTCCCGCTGCAAAGGAGAATTGGCCACAAGGTTTTTCTAGCACCTGGGCTGCATTAAGGTTTATACATTTGGGTTGTTGGCTGAGGAGCCCATAACCGGCGCTCGCGCAGCACCGAGAGTCGCTCAGGCAGCCCTGTTTGCTTTCCATGGACAAGTAACGCAGTAATTGCAGCAGCGCTGCTGCAGTGGGTGAGCAGGACTGTAATAAAGGGTGACTTTGATGAGCAGGCTCTGAAGTGGTTGTGGGGGGGCGATGAAATGGGTTTTTGGACCCACTCCAGCCAGCAGTTGGTCTCTGCTGCCTCGGTATTAGGCAGGCGAGATTTAAGCCCCGCACGGGAGGTGGCTGCTCACATCAGAGACAAATTTGGTCAAACAGCTTCTTGGGAAGGTGGGGGTGCTCCTGTTTAACCAGAAGGGTTTCAGAAGTGCTTTGTTCATCATCCTTTAGAAAGGGAACGTGCCCTCGTTTTGCAGAAAAGCAGGGACTGGGTATGAAATGGTTTGCAGCGACTTGGATTAAATGTGCAGAGTATTGTCATAGCAACAAGAGGGAAACCCCCGCAAGGTGGGAAATATCAATGCGAGCAGGTGAAGGGAAACTGCAGCTCTGAAGGGATAAAGCTGCTCCCAGCAATCCAGGTTCTAGGAGCAAAGCAATAATTGAGTCCAGGGAGGGGAGAGTCTTTTAAACACCTTCCAGAACTGTCTCTGCCAGCCGTATAGCACAGCTTTTAGAAGCTATTTGCCTACAATACGCCCTCCAAAAATGTTTTGGTTTTGTTCTTTCCAGTACTTGTCCACAGATGTTGATCTGTATTAAACTTTCCTGCTAAGATTGAGGGAAGCTTTGAGTAGAAGCTTCAGTTCTGTTTTAAACAGGGGCTTTAAAATGATGCAGCGTATTGTACCTGGTACAGAATGACAGTGTGGGGCCGGCATTTCAAAGGAAATGTGTGTGGGGCTTTTGAGGGGCTATGGTAGAGTCATGCTCGCTGGGTTATGAAGGGGCCTTGTACAGCCCAGAGTGTGTGGGAGGAAGGGACCGTTCTGCTCCCAGCTCCTGCATCCTGCAGCTCTGACACAGCAGAGGTTGCAACAGAGCACCAGAGAGTACTCCTCAGATCAGTGTCACATCCCTGTAGGGCCCGGAAAGAATTTCAAGATGAAAGGGAAGTGATGGTGAGGTTAGGGAGCAGACTGATGTCTTCCCTTTAATAGTGGATTTTTGGAGATGCACTAAAAATTCAGTTTTAATTTCACACAACTGAAGGCAATGACGACGATGGGCACAGCTGGCGACACTCAGTGTCACTGCCTCTTCCCTCTACGTGACCTGAAGTGGTGACAATTGGCTTTATCCACTCCCCACCGGCCAAGGACGTGATAACCGAGAGCCAGAGTAAGGAGCTCGGTCTGTGGGGAGACACGCACGTGATTCTGCGGTTATGAAGGAGCCGCCTTACATCACTGAAAAGGTTGATGAGCCTTTCGAGGAAGATGGTTGATAACTACATGGAAGGAGCAGATTAATGTCCCAAGACAGTACACTGTAAAATGGGCAATTTCTGTGCACGGTGCATTTTGGAGAGCAGTAGGGCTGCCTAAATGAAGTTTCATGCAAACCTCCTTTCAGCTGTGAATGCGCCATTAGGCTCCAGGGTAGATGGTTAAATTGTGCTATTGATTTAATGTGCAGGAATATTTGTTAGTGCAGTGAAGAGATGCAGCTAATGACTTCTGGTGGCTTCTTCAGATTTTAGTCTGGCATACGAGGACGGAAAAGCCTGTGCTGGTGAATGAGGGGAAGAAAGGATTCACAGATCCCAACGTGGAAATCTGACTGTGCATGGCTGAGTGGAGACCAACACCAGGTAGGAGCTCACATTTTGGAGCAGTAATGAAAAGCAACAGTAAAAAGAGGAAAATAGTAGACAATGAGAGGAAAAAGACAAGAGCTCCTTTAAATCTGCTTTCCAAATTCCGTTTTTCACATCTCTGACCTTCCCTAGCTGCAAAACTTCTTGAGACCATTAGTTAATCTCTATTTCTTAAGACAGGCTGCTAAAGGGGAACTACAAAAAGGGGAAAAGCCACACGAATTCAGTGACAAGCAAGGGATTAAACCCCACACGAGGTATTTCTTTACCTAAGCTGAGCACGTGGTGTCTTTTTCCATGGAAAGGAGGAAGGAACATGCACACTGATGGGTGACTTCTGCTCATGCCCTGGCTTCTCCCCTTTAATTACCTGAGCATCCTGGTGCGTTTGGTCCTCTGTATTTGCAGAGTGTGCTCTGCAGGTGGTTTGCTCGGGTAAAAAATTGGCTGTATGCTTATATCTGCAACCAGACCGTGTTGCTGCACTTCATCATTATGGGGAAATAGATGCACAACTCCCTTTAACTGAAGTGCAGAACCAGGCCTGGAGGGGAGAGGTTGCTGCTTGTTGTGTTTTCCTCTTGAATACAGTGAAAAGCAGCAAAGGAAAGGGGTAGGTTTGCTCAGCAGCGGTGTATTTTTGACAGTAATGAGCTCTCTTCTAGCATATTCCCTCGGGGTAACTGGATGGAGCTCTGCATGCTGCAGCAGCCCATTGGCAGGACAGCAGAGGAGAGCCTGCACCGCACACTGTCTATATATAGCGGCTTTGCAGAGAGGCCATAGCTCTTCGGCGCTGTCACAACTGCTTTTCACCAACACCCAGTTGCCTAGCAGCAGAGCTGCAATCTGAGCTGGGATTTGGGATCGGTCCAAGGGGTGGCAGCTCACTGCAGCGAGGCAGAAGGGCAATATCCATGCTGCTTGTGTCTCTGTTGCAGATTTCCTCACGCACAGCCCGCGAGGTTCCTCTCCACAGCATTACTACCAGCCAGACGTGCAGTAGCCAGGACCTCTGCCGACCTGTAAGAGTTTTTAGCCTACTGAAAACAAGCAACACTGCATACATAAACTACCCGGATTCCCCTGCCCTTCCTCCTGGACTCTGAGCAGAACCAGACGCTCCGGAGGTGGAGAAAAAGCACAGAAAACACAGGACTGACGCCGACTTCAGTACAAGAGCAGCTGCCTCGCGAGATGCTCGGTTTGGGAGAAGTGCATGCAGGGCATGATGCGCCGAGGACGTGGCCTGGCTGGAACGGTAGTCTGGACTGAGGGGGCTGCTTTACAGGACCTGAAAACAAGGGTGAGAGCGCCCGCAGGAGAGTGTTGGCCCCTGGTGACTTGTTTTTCCCAAGACACGCGTACCTTGTGGCTATGTGTGCCACAGCCTAAGCAGCTCTCTGTTCACGGAGGGGACAGCTGCCTTCTGAGATGGCACCTTAGCCCTTAATTTTAAACCTACTTTAATCAGTGTTTATTACGCTGCACAAGACAGGAAGGTTTTGGGGGAGAGTGAAAAGCAAGGCAGGTTAGAACAAATCCATTCTGTATCTCTGTTCTCTTTGTATTCCCTCTCCTTTCCCTTCATTCGTTTCATGACAGACCTCTGTGTTCCTGGATGGAGTTATGTTTACAGCATGTGGTTCTCCATTCATCCATGCTAAAACAATTGGAAGTGGGGTTTAATGAGATTGTTGCGGCCATACACCGTAATACTTCATCCAGGCCCAGATCTTGGTTCTGTTTAGCTCTATTTGGTTCACATGAGCATTAGGTGTGGGATTCTCCGAAGGGTGCTCCTACATAAAGCCAAATTTCCACTCGTAAAAAATAAAGTTCACTGTTTAAAACTAGGGTTTGAATGGTAAAAGCTGATTTGAGTGCACTGACCATTCTACTGGAATGTACCCTTCAGCCCCAGCCCCTTTTGCAGGGCCGTGCAGAGTTATTGGCGTAAAAAAGCCACGCTGGAGCAGATGGAGAGTTAATCTCCGATGGATAGAGCAGCACCCTTGTAAAGGGGATCCTGTGCTTAGTGCTCGGTTTCTTCAGCACCTGGCTTGAGGTAGGTTGAGAAAAGATCTCATTAAGTCACCTCCTCCCTGTTCTGTAGCATCAAAGGACCTGGGATAGCCTTGGTGGAAGGGTGTTCTCTGATGAAACTGTTATTTTGCTTCTCAGTGAGAGACACAGGCCCGAGCAATGCAGAAGAGGAACCCGGGTGCTACTGTGTATTGCTTGACTCTGTATTTGAGATTGGCAGACTTGCTGAGGAAGAAATTGAGGTACAGCAAACCCCTTCTCCCCACCTCTGGCCCCTTTAAAAAACAAACAGCAGGACTTAGCTCCCCCTGCACAGTTTTTGTCAAACCTCTGATCAGCCCCCACTGTCCCAGTTCTTTCAGAAAGGTCTGAAGCACAATTTTACCTTTGAATTGAGGGAAAATGTAGTCCTGGAAATAGACTTGGTTATTTTTAGCCCTAACACACAGAACTATTAAAATGCTCTAGATCTGCTTGTTAGTGCAGAAATCTCCCCTGGGACTGACGACATTGTGTATTTCCTAATATTTTACAAAAAAAGGTATTTTTTGTAAGTTATTTTCTCCCACTGTACATCAGAACCATTGGGGGGAAGTTGCATTCTTTAGTTCCCAGTCACAGAAGCCCTGCTGTGTAGCCTTTACAAAAATGTTCCTTTAGATGCACTGGCTGAAGCTGTGCTTGGACAGAGAGCATTCGATGCTGCTGGCCGTGCTGTGGGATGGGCAGCGTTACCTTGTAGTGAAACAGCAGCTCTCTGTGCCCAAGCAGATTTATTACTGTACTGGCCTTCCAAGTTCACTTCAGTCTGCAAATGCTAGAGCAAAAAAGAGACATTTTTAAAGGACTACAAAGGTTTTGTACCATTTAACTGGTTTCCAGTTAACGTCCTCTCCTAGCTGCATGTTTTGGTTCACTAATCTTAATTCCAGTCCCTGCTGGCTTGCAGCCTTCCCTCCTCGGAAGGAAATAACATTCAGAAGAACGCAAAGGATAGGGTCCTGAACACAGCCCTGCACACACGCTCCACTCTCCTCACATTCGGTCACACCAGCCTGGGCCTTTCCAACTCGCCCAGAGGCTGCTGTGGCTCTCGGGAGCAGAGATGTCCACTAAGACCAGCTCTGGCCAGGATGGAGTGTATTACAGCTGCACTGTCTGTTCTCCGTTTTAAACAAACTGTATTGAAATTTGTTAAATAAAATTATGGTTTCTAAGAGCCAGAATACCCTGCAACTCCATTAGCAGAGACAGCATGGTGTTTCTCTCATAGCCTGAATCAGTCTGGTTACTGGAACAGAGAACAGGGGCTGAGCGACTTCTCGGAGATTCGGAACAGATTTGCAGCTTGAATTTGATCTCTTCCTCTCCCCAAAGAGAATTTTTAACTGGTGAGTGAAAAATACATGGCATGTTTTTCCTAAATCCTGCGGTTCTGTTTTGAGGGACAAAAAGAAACCAGGACCCAAGATCCCAGGATTTCACAGCAGGTTTAACTGGAAATATGTGAGATGGGATGTGCTCTCCCATTGCAACCATGTATGCCTGCCCTTAATGTCTATCCCAACCAAAATCTGATCCCTGCTCGTTTTACACGGGGGAATTTCATCTTTAGGTGCTTCACAGTGAGAGCAGGGGTGGAGGGATGACCAGAAGACTTGAATTTGTCCTTTTCTCCTCCTTCGTGGAAGTTCTCATTCCTGCCTGGCCCGAAACACGATGATGTATTGGACAGAGGACAAAACACATTTCACTTTTTAAAACTTGGGTGTTTTTTTTTCCTTTTTGAGAGAGAGAGACAACCTCCATAGTAAAACTTAGTGGGAAAAAAAAGCTCCAATTAAAGTCATTCGACAACCAACTTGGCTTCCAACAAGTGAACAAGTAATGGCCTCTTTGCAGAGTGAGTTGCTAAATTCTGCCCCGAAGCACAACAAAATGGTTTTCCGCACCTGGTTCCTCACATGTTCACCACCTATTTTCTCCCTATCTAATTATAAAAACAAGGAGGCCAGTAGCAACACATTTTTAGAGTCACTGGAGAGCTAAGCCCAGCTTTCAGTTCAGATGGCTTCAGTTCCTTCTCTCTCTCTCCTGCCTCCAGCAGCTTTTTACTCCCTCACAGTCATAAGATCACGAGCAGCCATCCAAGCTGTGGGTCCTCAGTGGTGCAGGCAGATTTGCTTCCGCATCCATCTACGAAACAACGGGCTCTGCTTTCCTTTGGAGCCCTTCTCTCTTCTGCCAAACTTACTGCCAAAGAGCAAATCCTTTACCTGGGTCTAGTGGGAATAAACATGCCCGAGTGCCTGGGCCATCGCGTCCCCAGACATGCAACCAGGAATAGTCAAGATGAACCAGACGTGGGAAAGGAGCTCTCCTCAGTCCACGTACTGGGTCCTTCCTAAATAAGGAATGTCGACAGATTGAATTATCCGTCCTGCAGTGCGCTCTTCAAAAATGACGATCTGCAGAAGAGAGAGGGATATGGAAAGTTCCTTCATACAAAGGCTGAGGCACTTTAACTATTTTTAGGAGGAAAAGGCATACGATCACAGCAGGGGAAGGAAGCATCATTTAAAGAGATGAATCAATGTGAGGCTGAACAGTAACTGCGATTCTTTAGCACCACATGATGCAGAAAATGAACCAGCATCAAATCAGGTTTGTCTTGATTTTGAACTCGATGCAGTGCTTTGAAGGTTTCCTGCCATCCTCATCATGTCTTAATGGTTGTCAGAGCCATATCATCAGCTTTAGAGCAGCACCTTCCCTGATTTTCACAGATCTTAGGAGATAACAGTCTCCTTCCATGCTATTGTGCTGGTTTGCAGGTAGAGACAGGTAATTAACACACTGTTTGTGTCTGGCTCTTTGGGACATGCCTCAGAGCAGGATCTTTAACCATACAAACAAAGAGAAATCCCACCAAAGCCTCTCACCTCGTTGCTCCCTTTCCATAACCAGGGGCCAGGAAGGTAGAGCGTTTCCTGAGGTCCAATTTTCCAGTAGCGGCCCAGGTTCTGACCGTTGACAAACACAACTCCTTTTTCCCAGCCCTAGAATGGGGACAGCACACAGAGTTACTGATGCGGCTGTATTGCCTCGTTAGCATCCCCACGGGGAGCCAAGTCTGCTTTCACACTTGTGTTCTTTCAGGCCACTTTCTGCAGGTTTTCTGCTTGCTTTCCCTGCGCGACTCCCTGGAGCCATGAACATTTAAGTAAGCCCTGTTGAACAGGAGTTATCCTTAATGGACTAATTAAAAGGATAAAGCTTTCCAAAATGTGCCATTCACGATTCATGCTTGTACAGGAAAGTTCATCCTTTTGAACAGACCTATCTTTATTTCTTCCCAAGCACAGAGTATTTCCCCTCACCTACTTCCCAGGTGACAGAAATACTGCGTTGCTACCGACTAGCATAATTTACAACAAAGAAGAAACAGAAAAGTGAGCAGTACAATAATGATTGGCATGAAGCTTGACTCAGGGGAGTGAAACCGGAGGAGGAAGTTAAATAATACTTAATTTCTCATCGTAAATTCTACACAAGAGCAGCAATCTTGCCCAGAAGGAAGAGGTGAACACTAACTTTCATGCCATGTCTACTAAGAAGCGACTCTTTCCATGTCACATTGAGAAGGCAGGGAGAAAACTAGTGCCTCCTTTATTTGCTGTGCCCATTACTCCTCTGCAACTAGGAAAGAAATAGCATTTGTATGTCACTAAAAGAGACTAACTGTTCATTAGCAGCTTTGCAGGGTCAGCATTGCCCACGTTTTCTCATCAGGACCACTACAGGCTGAAAAGCATTACCTGCCAGCTTGGGAAGACTTCTACACCCTCAAAATAATTTGCTTTCTCCAAGATCAGAGGAAGACTCTAAGACTACAGACTGTAAGACTACAGAGTTCAGTCGGAGCTATTACACCAGGGTCTCTCTAACCAGCTTTTTAAGAATCTTGTCAAAGAAAAAATAAGGGGAAAAGACAAAAAGGACTTGCCTGCAGCTTCAAGAAAGTGTCCTGTGGCTGATGCTCTATCCACAGCCTTCCGCGAAAAAAGGCCGGACCGACGAAGTAATCCGGGACTGCGCTCCATCCCGCGAGGTGTCGCAAGCTGTGAGGGAAAGATCGACACAGGTAACGGCAGGGAAGCACCGGGCAGCGCTGACAGACACAGCAGCGGTCTCAGCAGCATCTCAAACCGCTGCAGATGGAGGCGGTTACAACAAGGTTGCTATTTCCTTGCGTGCCTGAAGGTAATATTCTTCATGCTACAAAGGGATGAAGTGTTTATCTCCTGTAAACATTCAAGGCAAGCACCTCGCTGATCTATCCCCTCCACTTAAGATAAGCGCACTGGCAGTACATGCCTCAGTCTTCATTATCCTGTGCTTGCCACATCCCTGATAGGCCAATTTCTGGTACAAGAACAGGATATCTGGGGCTATCACCATCTCTAATACTTCACAGCAACCTAAATATCTCTGCTTTACGTTGGCTGCTGAAGTGCTTATCCTCCTTCAGCTACGACAGTGCCACGGTGCAAGCTTTAAACGTACATGGCTTGCACAGGCTAAAGGGAAACCTGCAGAATTTATAGGAGTCAAAACAGATACTCCTGCCCATGTTCCTATCGAGGAACATGAACACATCCTCGCAAGTCTGCAGTAATTAGGGGCAATCTGGCATTATTTCTTACCTGTGGCAACAATTTGGGAGCAGAGGACAAACAGAAAATAGGGGGGATGTAGAAGTCCCCCAGAAGCCTTGAGTTCCTGTCAGAACAGGTCCCTTCCGACCCTTACAGACTGCATCTCTTGGATGCAGGGAAGTTATTGATCCAGTGACTGCTGCTGAATTATTCAACTAAAAGCCTACAACGACCCCTTTCACAGCACCACACTCTCCTTCCTCCTCCACAGTCACTGGGAGCCGATTGTGTTTCATTGCTGCTGGTCAACTGGCAGCCACTGGCTGTGGTGTTGACCAATATTGCTTTTCTTTGGGCATGGCATTTCACTTGCTTTCATGTTCCTCACTGGAAAAACTCTTCTAAAAGCCTGCAGTCAACAGTTATGTGAGTCATCCCATCAGTAAGTCCTTCAAGTAGCCCCCTGTTAGGATTGTCCTTAGAAATTTCAAAATATAGACCTTTCTTCCTTTCAAAAGCCATCTCAGTTTAACACGGCCTCTCTCCTTTCTACACAGAATGTGGGAGCTGGGATATCTTGGGGAATGCACATGTGTTACTTCTGGTATTAACAACAGAGCTGAAAAGAGTCTCTCTGGATTGTGGCCCGAGTCCATAGGGCATCTGTTACCTTAAATGTCTGCAGAGGTTTTCTGTATCTGCCAACAGCAGCTTCTTGACGTACCCCTGCCAGATTTCTTTTTCAGTTTTTCTTGAATTAACGCAAAATAACTTGAAGAGGGGACGCCATCTGGACTTGTTAATGTACTATTAGTAGCTTCCTAGAATTAATCCATCTCTTGCGAGTTTGAATTACTAAATATATCAGCCATACTGCTAATTTCAAGAAGGACAGCAATTTCTCCAGCGTGTGGGTGTGCTGGGAGCCACCCCTTTGGGTAAGCCACGCTTTTACTTACCTGATCTAACCCTGCTGTACAGGCTGTGAGGAAGTCTTTAAATCCTGCACAGTGGGAACACATTTCACCCCTAAATAATGCTATGGATAAAACAGCACAATTTGCTGCACTATTTCGAGCAAAGGGATCAGCAAGGAACGTGTAAATGCAAAAAATCCACCTGCCTACTTTTACCTTGTGTTGCCTTTCGGATACGTTTAACTGCTACCTGTGAGATTTTGTACTGCTGGTAAACAGTTGGTTTCGAATGAGGAAGAAAACACTTTTTAATCCCACAAACCTTTTCATGAAGCCAGGTTTCATCTCCAAACTGTAAATCTTGAAGTTCCTCAAGGGGGTTTTATTCAAGAAGATGTCACCAATTAAGCCTGCAAGAGCAATGGGGGTAATGAAGAGTTGAAAAACAGCTAAAGCTGATAGATTTTCCTATTTGAATGCGAGGAACAGCAGGAGATGGAAAGCAGCCACATCCTGCAATGGAATTAGAGGCCATATGGTCCCATTGCTCATCCAGATTGAGTGGGGAACATTACTATACTTTGGCCTCTCCACTCTCTTCTTTGCTTCAACTCACCAAGCCGTTAAACACCCTCCAAGCAGAAAACATTGCTGGCACAGGCAGCAGATGGGGTTTTGTGGTTATTGTTGGGTTTTAGATAGCTGTCCATGTATAGATGTTTTTAAAGCCGTGGATCAGTTACTTCCCTAACAGGCACAGCAAAATGTAACGTGGGCAAGCACTGATGTCCGGTGCTGATGCAGTGCTTTTCATCCAAGGATCTTAAGATACCTTAATAAGTAATTTTCCTTTAGCACTCTCTTGTTAGATATTCTCCATGTAGCAGGAAAAGCCTGCGTCCTAATCCAGCCTCCTAATTACAGGACTGCAGCTGGGACTGCCTAAGCAGCACAGAGGCTTTACACACCTCTTCTGCAGTCAAGCACAATTAGTACAGTCACGAGCCTGACTCCGTGAGGCTGTTTTGTATGCTTTGTGCATGCAGTTCCCCACTAAAAATGAAGCCTGGGGGTTTAACCTCTTCCAGCTACACAACTGTGTGTGATAGGCTTGAACTTTTTAGTCAAATCTGCTCCTGTAGTGTTTAAACTCGGAGCACTATCTACGCCAGTTTGAGAACAAAGACCTTAACTTACCTTTCCTCTGTTCGTTCAGTGCCAGGCCATAATTGACGCGACCGCGGTTCTCTACCAAGAGTCTTAGCTGCCTGAATCCCTGTAAAACAAAAAGGAAGAGCATCAGCTGGAGCAGGGCGCAGCATGTGCTGTACCAGCCAAAACCCTGACCCTGAGGTCAGGGGAGGTGGTTAAGAGGGGAGGTGGCACCAATGCCTTTGGCAGTTGCCATTTATGTGTTTACTTTTAAGTTCTGGGTGGTTACAGAACAGTGTCCCCTATCTTTCAGCTATAAATAATGATGCCACTGAGGAATTTTCAGCCTAAAAGTTCTCTTTTCCTTTTTCTGTTGAATTTTTAAATACCATTTTGATGCCACCCACAGAGCCAGGAATGGAGTCTGACATAGTGTGGAGGCTTATGTCATATAGCTCTCCTGTAAGAACAACTAGTATAGGCAAAAGCTTCTTAAAACCTGCTTTTTGCTAAGAAGAAACCTAGAGGGACTCGATCTGCAGGGTACTGGTACTCCATGTGTGCAGTTTGTGGGTGCAGCAGGAAGGCTGGCAAATTTTGTGCAGCAAGGACTACAATGACTTGAATTTTCTCCATGGAGAAGTATCCAAAAACCACTTCTCAATCACAGATAGCAACTTGGCAGTGAAATCACACTGTATTTCACTAGTGAAATAGTGTCTGGTTGGGGTATAACAACTGTTTGCTGTGTCAGGCCTTGAGAGCGATGCCTTTTTAGAGGTCTTGGTTCTGTTATCCACATACTATTGCTGTGAGCAGTCTCCAGTTGCTTACCTGTCCTTCAGGAAGGGAGAGCTCCACCGTGTTGTAGTCCAGCTCACCAACATACATGGTGTTAACAAACACCTGCAGAACAGAGCACAGGAGAGCAGCTTCTCATCAATTACATTATAATCATGGTGCATAGGATACTGAAGTTGTATTTGGGGAGGAAATGCAACTAGAATCCAGCATCCGTAACTGCGTCGCTGAATCAGCTGTACCTAAGTCCCATCATCCCATTACATCTGACTGAAGTTATTCACAGTCTCCGCTCCTTACCTGTGCTCGGTCACGGATGTGGTCCCTTGAATGCAGCTGACCACCACCAAATATGACAGTCTCGTAGAGCACGTATCCGTATGACTGCCCACTGCTATCATTTACATGCAGATTCTCCATGTTAACGGGAAGCTCTGACTTAATGGGCTGCAAAGGAGAAAGACATTAAACAGCAGAAGTGGCCTCTCAGCATTGACAGGCCACGTAGGGGCAATTCATTTAAGATAGGTGTTCACTCTGCTGCAGGTTACATTTACCCTGTAAGCTCCAGAGGCCTGTCCCAACCTGAATTACCTTGTGGCTCTATGAAAGCTACAGCAATGAAGATAAGGTACCAGAAAAGGGAGCCAAGGACTTGCAAAACTGGAATTCCAGGAGAACAGAAGTAGCAGTAAAAAAGGGGAGATACAAGATTTGCCTCCTTTCCATATACTTAACAGAACATTTCCAACCTTATCCTCATGGGCTAACAAGCCAGTGCACTAATGACCTTTTCCACCTAAGAAGTGATGCCTTTTAGTTCTGAGATGCATTAAAATTGGTGGAACTACCTGTAAAAGAGATGGTAACACGTCCCAGAGAGAGATATATTGATGCAACAGGATTGCACCATAGGATGCCTTGCTTTCAATCATGGGAGGGAGAGGAAGAGGCTGGCCTGTGGTGCAAAAAGAGAAAGATGGAAGAACTACTTCAGATGCAAAAAGCCAACACAGATTTAAGGTCCTTTCAGACCTCCTTTGGTCCTCCCTCCCAAAAAGCACCCAGCCAGACTATCAACTGGAGCCACAGGGCTGCAGCAGAAGGGTCAGTTTAAACAAGTCTCTGATTTAATACAGTAGGTAGGACAGTATTTTGGTTCTTGGGTTTATAATTACCAATAATCATGCTGAAGAGTTGTCGGAGCTTGAAAAATTTGGATGTATAATCTCCAGCTTCTGTCAGCACAGCATCATAATCTGAAAAAGCAGCACATCTGTTTTAAAGAATATACAGCAGCTCTGGGGCAGCCTTCATGTCATCAAGGAAGTAAAAGCCCAAGACAGTTTTCTTGGCACTGTCTGTATTACGGAAACCTGTATACTTTTATCACTGTGAATGTAGCTAGACAGCCACAGAGTTGCTTAATTTGGAGCTCACCGAGCAGCAGAATAGTTTGGGAGATCTAACTGGAGTGTGTCCAGAATTTCACACACGATAAAGTCAACAATTAACAATTTTAACAACGGGCTGTTGTGATGAAAAGAGCTTTATGGTACAATTTGACTTAGTGAAATTAAAACCAGGATGCTATCCTGGATCACCATCTTTCCCTGGAAAGAAGACCCAATGTGGAGACAACATGAAGCCAAGTCTGAAGGGCAGTGAGCGTGTGGGCAAGAGAGTGGAAGAAAACTCACCGTAGCTGGTGACATCTGCCTTGTATTCATCAGCCGCCAGAGCGCCGTTCATGAAGCCAAAGTTGGTGCCTCCGTGGAACATGTAGAGATTGATGGATGCTCCTGATTTGAGGATGCTTGCTACGGTGTTCACCATTTCTGTAAAGGAAGGCCACAGACCAAGAAGCTAGGCTAACGCTCGTCCAGTAATGCAAAGCAGACACAAACATTCTGCTCCTTGGCAGTCAGTCACGCCTGTGTAACCACAGTCATTTGTACTGTGATTTGTATTTTGCCCTAAGGGCAGCACCTCTATTGATATATTGGTACATATTAATACGTTCAAATATACCTCTCCTATCGGGGAAAAAGGGTAAAGCCCATGTACTCGAGCAGGAATTTCGCTTTCAAGCAAGACAAGAACATGGTGCTCACCGTCTGCGTCAAAGACATAGTGGGGGCCTCCCCAGTTATCAAACCATCCGGTCCAGTACTCCATCACCATCTTTGGCTGATCTCTCTGGACCAAAACACAAACAAGGAGTTAACACGGAGACAGAGCAGTCTTGAGCTCATCCCTGTTTTCTAGAAAAGCGTTGTTCAAATGCAGTTTGGCGACGTGGTTTGCAAGAGTGTTTTCTTCTCAAGCTGGCATAAAATAAAGCAGCCAAGGAGCTCTGAATAAATGAGGAACAAGACAACTTGGGCCAGCAATGCCCAAAACAGGCAAGCAAAGCACAAAGCAAAGCTAGGCACGAAGCAAAAACCACAGCACACTATATTTGGATACTGTTGTTTGGTCGAACTGCAACAAGACGGCAAACCGACTGCCACTGTTTAGCTTCTGCTAGAAATACACATTTATAAATGTCTGCTTATTAGCTACGCCACTGCCAGCTGAGATTTGCAGGTGCGCTGCAGCCAAAGCTTGCCAAGGTAGGAACAGCAGACCTTAGCAGCTTAATGCCTTTTTAATGCTGCATATGGCGTTGGCAGGAAAGAATTAGCCTTTGCAGGAATTAGGTCTTCATTAAAAAAAGCTCTGCACACAAAGCAATTGCTTCCTATTTGTCACCGCTTGCCAGCTCCCTCAGCTCCTGTACAAATCCACCCTGCCCCATCATACCGGACGGGACACGAGTGCTCAGCCTGGCTGGCACTGCCTCCTCATGGTATTTATTTCTAGTCAAGGCAATTTTGCCCTTCATTTGATAGGGGCTTTATCTGATGCCACACGAAATGGCCAAGGTAAGTGGCATTAAAGAAACTCGTGTTTCATTAGGAGAAAACAACCGCAGGTGCCTGTAATACTCTAATTGTCCCAGGCTCAGTGCAGCTCTTGGAAATATGTTTAATCAATCCGTCCCCAGTAAAGTAGTCAAAGAAGGAGTTTTATCACCCTCTGCAATAAAAGACTGCAAGATAACAGCTTCATAATCTTTACAAATACGAATTACAGCCTTCCTATCTTGTAATTAGTAAGTGTGGCAAAGGAGGAGCTGCTCTTATTGGGCCATGCTGCATTCAGTTGGTGGGGAATGTGCCGCCTTGTATTCATTTGTAGGGCTTGGGGAATTTTGTAGAACCTAGGGAAGGTGAAAGCACACGCAGCAGAGCCTCTTTAGCCTGTACAGGAAAAGAAATCAACTTAAAGCAGTAGGATTCAGCGTTCACCACGCCAGCAGCAAGGGTTCCCTCCACAGCCCAGGCACAAGCCAAGGGAAGGGATCAGAAGAGAATCGATCACGGCCAGGGGCAGATGTCAGATGTTCACATCTTTCCAGGCTGACAGCTGGAGCAAGCAGAGCCACAGGGCAAGGAGAGGACAGAGGATGCAAAGAGAGAAAGAACCTGTCACCAAAGACCAAAACTTGTTATTCCCTCACTGCTCCCTCACCACACAATCAAGGTATTTTTTGCATCAAGTGTTCATTAGGCAATTCCCTGCCCCTGGTTCACATCTCTGACAGCACAGGGGGTTAGAGATGCTCAAGTGACACATTAAATACGAGTGTTTTCCTGCAGTGAGCACTGTTAAAATGTCTGGTAGGCTGGGCTGCAGAGAAGGCCTGGGACTGCGCTTTGTGAAGTTACTGTGGAAAAGTATCAGAAATCAAAGTGTTCCTCTGAGCAGTTCTGCTGCAGAAACAGGACCAAGTGCACAGTGGAGCCAATCCTCTCTTCTGCACAGCATGCCATTAATACAACTTCACATATTTACACTGAATATGAGGTATTGGAGATGACTGAAACACCTATCACAGTGTACCTGAAAGAACTGCGTTTGAAAGCTGTAGTTTTCAAACATGCTCTCGATGGCATCCACAGCATCAAGGTAAAGAGAGTTTGGGAAAAAGATGATTGAACTTCCAAGAAAGAGGCCTGACAATTGCAAAGCAGGATGCTACTGGGTATCAACACTTGAAAGTGTGAAGAAATCTAATCCCTAACAGCTAAACACAGGCCACAGCTGAAGGCAAAGCCTTTAAGAAGGTGCTGGACAACAGCATACTTAAAACCTCCTTCACTTTCTAGAGAAACCATCACTGATTCCAGAAGGATTTGGCCTAATGAGAAGGAAGGCCAAACATTCGTTCAAAAAAAAGCCCCAAGCCAACACATGAAACCAAAACCAACTATCGGTGCTTCATTTCTAATGCCGTCCTGGAAAATCTAGATGAAGGTTTTCTGCATCTTACCTGTACCGTGTCCAGATATTTCAGTAGCCCAGGTTCCAGCTTCTGAAAGTTAACAGTGGCCAGTGCTATTGGGAAAAGAAAAAGCTTTTATTAATTTAGACATGTAGAAAACGCCATGGGGACCGACTCCTCAGGCATCAGCCCAGCACAAGCTCAGAGGGAACTGGAACATCTTTTGAAGCACCAATACGACCTCCTTGGAAATTTCCCATCAAAGTCTTCACTCAGTATGCAGAATCTAACAGGACTGCAGCACACAGTGGAATACTTGCAGGCCATCTTTTTAGCTCTACTATTCAGAGATACTAGAAAGAGAGAGCATCAGAGCAGCTCATGGGGTGTCACAAGCTTTAATTAGAGGCTACAAAGCATCTGGAGATCCTCAGATAAAAGGCACCAAATAAAGGCAAACTTAATATTAGAAAGTCATATCTGGATGCCACGCTGATCTCCCAGGCTTTACCTGCAGGAACTGCTACCCAGGCAATATCTTACAGCTTGTCATGTCTGTGGGGGTGGGTGAGAGAAACCGCAGAACAAGGGAACCAGAGAGAAATTGAAATTATCTGACTGATCTATGCCTCTGCCCTGTGCAGCAACCAGTCTGTGTGTGCTGCATGGATAGCAAAAATCACTGCATGGCCTTCGAGCACGGGAGCAGGAAGAGCTGTCTGCAGGAGCTGGTGCTTTAGAAGACACTAATCTGGTGTCAGCGTCCCAGCCCCTGGCACACGTTTCAACCATCTTTGTACTTTTCGAGCCAAGAAACTTGGAAAATGCAAGAGCAGTGATATGATTCTGTATTAAAACCTGACTCCTTACAAGTATCTGGTATCAAATCCAGCCCCAGTTGTGTCAGACAGAGCACTTCAAACAGGGTATTTACAGAAGCAAAAGCTCGCTTCTCGCTATTTATACCTCGATTTTAATAGGCTGACCTCTGCAGTGTGCTGAGCTGAAGAATTTGGCACAGGCAAACCTGGTGGGAGAACAGAATAAACGATTTCCTTCTCATCCTCTGAAAATGTGCTGCAACAAGGGCTACAATGCTGTATAACCCAGCCTCACTGCTCCTGGCATTAACAGGAACATACAAATGCTTCTTTGAAAGAAATCAGTACACAACTGATGAACAGAATGAACAAAATCACATCAGTTTTCAACTCCAGCACGGAGTCTTCTCTGTTTTGTTATGTGTTTCTACAGTGGATTTTGTTCTGCCACCTTCCTGTTGTACCACTTTGAGCCCGACTTCTTCCATGCATCTGACTGCTTGACATGTTGACTCTAATGAGCAGACTGCTGTGACATGGAAAGAGGCAAATTGGTATCAAAGAGCTCTCAGCACGCAAGGTGCTGGAAAAGACAACTCCAAACACCAGCGAGCGCTGAGGCAGTCAACATTCCCACAGAGGATGGGGAGGGATAGAGAGGGATTTCCACACCAGCCCTTCTGCACGGCAATCTGGCAGGGCTACAGTGACTCTGTGTGGTCAAGGCTGAAAACTGCTGCACACCAGAAACCATACAACTGAGGAGAGCACCACACTGGTGAAGGCCCCTGCGCTTCAGAGTTGCCGAGTGTGTCCCTCCCATGCTGTCAAATAAAATCAACAGGAGGAAAAAAACCAAAAGGAGAGAAAAGTCTTTCCCTTTAATCATCTCCATGCCTGAGATGAGAAAGTTAACAGTATTTATGACTGAGTGATGACAGGAGCGCTCACAAACTAAACTCTTCATTCAGGAAAGCAATTACTACTCAGGCAGGCAACTGGCAGAAACACAGGAGAGACCAGAGGCCAAGTAGGTAGTAAATCTCAGCTGAGAATCAGTATCACGCTGTGCCCCAAACAGCCAGATTTAGGGCACAGTGAAACTCAAACAGCTGTACCTCCATTTCCTCACAGTGAAAAGCAGGCAGGGTGCTAAGCAGCGTTTTTAAACATTTAGGAGAATTACACTTTTTAAAAGGGAAAGGGCAAACGCACATCCTTTCGCATTATGCCCACCCGATGCCCTCCTTCGCCTGCCTACCAAAGGCTGCACACCCCAGAGCAAGCTCGCTGGGAAGATGGGGCTGCCCCACAAACCACTGCTGACCTTACACCGTGTTACAGTGCAGAATCAAGGCTTTGATGCATTACTTTCCTCTCCTTTTAATTGCACACCAGATACCTTAATAATAAGTTATTACTAGTAGTAATTGCTGAGGTACTTGTTTAATGTAGCCTCCTGCTCTCATTCAAAGGCTGCCCCAAAGAACAGTCTTACCGTGCTCTCCCACAAGCACTTACCTCCCTCCACTAAGCCAAAGGACAGCCCATTCTTGTTGTCCGAGGTCATTAACAGTTCCACAATCCCTCTGTTTAGCAAGGCCTAAATTAAAAAAAGAGGAAAAACCATTGTGTTAACAGCCTGAGGTTAGTATTTGTCAGGATATTAAAGCATTAAAGTGCATTATCACCTTCTCAAGACAGCTTGAAACTGGTAGTGACTTGGTAAGAAGTATCATTCCTGCGACATCTCCTCCTGAAGCATCCCTACCTACTTTTTCCAGCTTAAAGACAACTAAAACCAACTTGTTTTGTTTTAGAAAGCTGGATCCATTTCTCACTGATGCATCAAACTTCAGGAGATCCGTTTAATAAACAGCCTCACTGCTTTCCATCGAAAGAGGGCTTCAGGTGGAGGAAGAAAAAGAAAAGCAACTCACCCTTCCTGCCTAGCAATGGGAGCTGAAAGGAGAAAATAGGTGGTTTGCCAGTGAATGCCAGCACAGGACAGCTCAGGTACCTATGTTCTCTGAATGAATTTACTGGTTCTTCAATACCACAGCACGGTATGAAACAGGACTCTAAGGTTTTTAAAATACATATGCACACACAGGGTTCTTCTCATTAGGAGTTTTTCTCTTACAGATGTGGTTAGGCAATCACATTGGAAGTCACTCCTTCACCTTCAAGGAGCTTTGAAAACAAGCCTTCCATCTCTTAATTCTACATTACTAACTGTAAAATGGGGAGAAAGACACAGGAGTGTGACCCATGCCATGTACCACCCAGTTAACGTGTGCTGTGTGTTTAAAGCAGCCTTTGCATACCGCACATACCTACATGCCCTGAGCACCCAGACTTTAGCATCACACAAGGTCTACACTGGAGAAGCATTACAATGCAGAGTTTAAAGACAGACCCAATTCAGAGTTAAGGCAGCCTGGTTACTTGCTTCCTTTCAAATACAAGCATAAAATGGAGAAACAGCAGAGAGCTGCCACGCATTGAAATGCGTTACAGGATTTCAGGGTGCAGCAGAGAAACCAGGAATAGAAACGGCATCTGAGGCAGCCCCAGGTGTGTGCTCTGCTAATCCCAGCTCACGTACAGTGTGACACAGCACCCTTTCGTGGCCTAAACGTATTGGGAGGTAAAGGCACTGCACCTAAAATGGGAGATAAGGACCCGGATTTGAGGTTTTGTGAGAGTTGCTGGGGGTTTTTAACAGGCATATTAATTCCAGGAAGGTTGCAACATTATTTTGTATGCTAGATGCAGAGATGAATTCAGCAACTTGCCACATTCAAAGCTCAAGGCCCAAACCAGAACAAGGATTATGAGCTCCACCTCTCATTAGATCCCACTCCAACCAAAAAGGAAGCCCTGCAAATCCTGCTTTCCCACATTTTCATCTTTAACCACTATAATACACTTCCTCAGATGTAAATCGCACAGAATACCAGAATATGATGAAACAGCGCTGCAGAAATACACTCACGGGCCTGGCAAGGAAGCATTATCTGTTCTGACAAGTCTGTGAAACATCACAGGCTCTTTCATCACTGCGATACGGAAAAGCAAGCACCGAGTCTGCACGCTGTTCAGACACAACAGAGTCTCTGTGCCCCACTCGTTTAGGGCTCTGAAAGCCATTTGCTTGCCACTGGTAGAACACAGGGAGGGAAACTATGTAGATAAAACAGACAGTTTTGACATTATCAGTTCAGACTGCCAAGTCCTTAACTTGTTTTTATGTACGCTTCACATTGAACCTTCTAAACAATGTTAAATCACTCCACAAGATGGAGTTAGCGCAGGAGCAAGCACCGCTCTAAGCAGATTAGGGCTCCTGCCACACGATTTCTTTGGTTGTAGAGCCTCTGTACACCTGGAGCAACAGGACAACCTGGGCCAGAGCTAACCTCAGGGTGCTCAGGGTGAAGCTGGGGTACCCAGAAAGTCTCAGAAGGATCTGATAATGCTGTAGCAGAAAAACATACACTTCATAGCATGTGCACGCCACCGGATGGGTAACCTCTCTCACGTGCAGCAACGTTTTTGAGCGTTCAGTGAGAAGAAATTCAACAAGAAACTTTGTAAGGCACACTGTGGATCTTGTTAACTGTCTGCTTTGCAATGGTGCTGGGGGCAAACGAACAGGTCAGGCTCGTGCCAAATGCACTGGGATAACCCGGCCTCCTTGAGCACCAGCCAACTCTTTATCACTCAGTTCAGAGGCAGGAGCCAGGGCACGCTCTTGTCTCTGACAAAGGTAAGGGAGGCTTAGGCAAATTAACCTGCCTGATGCTGAGCTCCACATTACCCAAGTTTAGGAGTTTGCTGGTGGCTTCCTTCCTCCCAGGAAGTTCAACAGAGACAAAGAGAAAGCTTTCTCTAATGTCATCTAAGCAAAGCAAAACAGGACCAGCAGGAGATACCTTCTTCAAGGCCAGCTATGTATGACAAACACTCCCCCATTTCCCCATCATCCTGTTCTCTGGAAAAGGTAAGAACACAGACACATCAGTATTGAGAGGGTCATATGCCACTTCAGGAAGAAACGTCAAGGGAAATGCAGCTGGGTTATGCACTGAAGCTTTCAAGGGTTTCTGAAGCCATATTCAAAAGTTATTCAGAAGAAAGAAAATACTGTAAGGAAGGTGGTTTATGAGAGATTCACCGCAGAAACAAGTAAATGTGTCAACATTACCATTTTAACATAGGTCATGTAGTTTGGGTCTTTGGCGTAGGAACCGTATTCATTCTCCACTTGCACTGCAATGATGGGACCTCCTTTCTTGTACTGTTAGGAACAAGAAGGAGAAGCTGTTCACCATGATTTCTGATCAGAGGGACCAAAATCACAGCAGCCCTGGCTTGCAGGAAAGATGCATGAGTCTCCAGTGGACCCTCTCATCCTCCCAAAGTCTATGCATAACCAAAGGGTGATGCCTCAACCCACTGCCGTCGCACACAGCTCACACTCAGCTGTGCAGACAGGCCCCACTTGAGGACAGAGGGTGATGGATGGTACTTGCCTGAAGAGGGACAACAATGGGCATCAGATGATCGAAATAGGCATCCACAGCCTCTGTGAAGCCCTTGTACGTTGTCCTCAGTTGCATCTCTGGGTCTCGCAGGAGCCAACTATGAGAAAAGCAGCAAACAGAACCTTTTAGTGTCAAGACTGCCTGAGGTACCACCACCCACCGACACCAAGTCACGTCTGGGCAGGAATCGTTGATCTTTCACTCTACAAACAAGTGCTCCCTCATAAAACCCCAATCATCGCTCAACCCAAAACTTCCGATAATTGTTCCCATAGTTTCTACTGCTGATTTACAAGACTGATCCCAAAGGCATGCTAAAAATTGAAAAGGATAAAAGAAAGAAGCCCTAAATTTTGTCAAGTGTCTCCACTGAGGTTTATGCTCTGTGAAGGTAAGGAAAACAAGCGGTACGTAACCTGGCACTGGTTCCACTGGGATCTGGTAACCAGGCAAGGCGCAATGCTGATGTATTCAACTCAGCTTTCAGAGCCTCTTACCAACAAGCTCTGTGCTTCAGCAGAAAATGCAGCAGGAGGTTGAAAAAGTTATGGGTCTTTACTACTGCCAGCCATGTAGTATGTATGTTCTAGCAGGACTTTTAAAATGGACCTCAGATGAATCAAATTTTTCCATCAAGCTGCAAATACTATTCATATTAGACAGTCAAGTAACATAATGGGTGTTCACCTGCTTTGGGGACACGGGAAAGAAATATTCCCACCTAACAGCCAGCCATTCAGAATCACTGGAGGAGGCTCAACTGTATGATCAGAGGTCTTGGTGATTTTTGCCACAGTCCCAAATGGTTGCCTTAGATGAACGATTTACACACTTACCTGGGCAGACCACCAAGGTCCCATTCAGAGCAGATGTAAGGTCCAGGACGCAGAATCACCCACAGTCCATTTTTAGCTGCCAGTGAAAGGAAGGCCCTAGAGATCCAGAAACGTAATTACTGTCTGACTGCAGAATCCCTACTCCGTGTGCTCCCAATACACCAACCACCGCAAAATTTAGGTACCAGACAAGAATTGCTTGCTAAAGCAACTATACTGGATTGGTACTAAACCAGAAAGCAGCAGAGGAAATTAGATTCTCCTGTGCCTGACCAAGGTACAGGCTTCGCTTCAGAAGATGGAAAGGACATTTTCATCCAGAACTGACATGCACACCCTCCCCTCCAAACAGGAGTATTGAATAATAGAGCTGTCTGTACCACATACTCGAGATCCAGGTTTCGACTGAAGTCAAACTTCCCTCTTTCTTGTTCATGGAGGTTCCATGGCACGTACCTGAAATGCAGAGTTAGGGCAGCGTGGCTTTTCTCATCGTAACAAGGACAGAAAGGCACTGGTATGGCCCACTGGAATGAATGACAAAGTTCCACCAACTGCTGTGGAAAAGGGGAGAGGCTGCAAGGTAGATGTACAGACACTTACGTGGTGAGGGTGTTTAAGCCACATGCTTTCATCTTAAGCATTCGGTCTTCCCAGTATTCCCTGGGGACTCGGAAGTAGTGCATTGACCCTCCAAAGATGCGGAAAGGCATCCCTTCCAGGAGGAACTGCGAGTTTGCTGTCTGCAAGCCTAGGGTCCGACCCCATAACCGCAGAGGGATCAGCTCACTCCAGTTAAACCTAGAAGAGAGACACACGTCAGCATCCAGTCTCCACTAAAGATGACATACACTGGGTAATTTCCAGATCCTTGTTCCAACAGCAGCCACGTTTCAGTACTGAATGTCCTGTGGTCTCTGAGACCTTCCAGCTCAACACATGGTAAAAATAAAGACCCCTCACCTATTCACTGTGAACCTTTTCCGTAATTTAAAGAAAACTCCTGGGCTACATTGATCACTCAGGAAAGATAAGGTCTGTTATCATCACAAACTTACCTCTGCCCGCATTACTGCTCATATTAACTCCTTAATATGTTATTTGCCAAAAGAACCAGAGCAAAGGAGATACCAGGTCCCAAAGCACTTACCAGCATCAATACTCATGCCATCACAGGCTCCATTTGAGTCGGTTCCTGCATGCAAGAAACTACTTCCTATTGACTTACACGGCTCCCCAGCTCATTTTGGCTGAACCAAGAAGACATTTTATCAGCCAGTCCAGACCCAAAGCACTTGCACCGCCTCCATCAGCCCATCCCTGTTGCACAGCTCTGAATACACAAAAGAGTTGGACAACAGCAGCTTGTTCCTCTGCGCCGTTATCGCAGCCAGATGCGAGGAATGAATTCCCGTCTCAAGAAAGCAAGTGGCCCACACATTGGAGAGAAATGTCACATTTGGAGAGGAGGGAAATACTCAAGCCTCCAGCTGTTTTCTATGCTATGTCTAGAGCGGGTATTAGCAGAGGATGAGGACTTCTCAGAACTCACAGCTTACAGGGATTGCTAACCAGGAGCCTGCAGTGATCACCTCTCCTCCAGCACAAGACAAGGAGACTACAGGGAGCTAAATCTAAGACTTGCAGGACACTGCACGGGCTGGCTGGCAAGCACAGAGGGTACCTGTGTAGCACAGCATTCTCACAGGGCTCTGAAACAACCGGCAGCAGGCATGGGAAATACCTGGAAAAGGAAGTCCAGATTAGATAGCCACTGCCTCAGTCAACGAGCACTCACGTGCATTTGCTGTCAGAAGATGGTGCAGTAATTGCAGAGCTTTTATGAAAGTGGTGCAGCTAAAAGTAGGAGAAATAAACACAAAACACCTAACTGCCATGTTTAAAAGGTGGCTGGCTGAGAAGGAACGGGATCAAAACTGCTCATCTACACAAGAAACTATGGACAGCATAGTTTGTACTATGTACAGCAGGAGAATGAGGACGTGAGGCTAGGAAATGGCAGCATTGCTCCCAAGGAATTACTGCGAGGTTTTCCAGCAGAGGAGGTGGTTCTCAATCCATATCCTATGGCCACCTGCCCCTCTATTCTGCTAGAACTACATCTTGCACAGAATATAACTTTTGCAGATCAGATCCTAAAACAGCAGCTACTTCTATTGCTTGGTGGCAAGCCTGAGGCAGAAAGCTCAAAGGGGTCTGGAGATGCAAAACTCCAGTTTTTAAAGATTAAGTTGGAAAATAGCAAAGTTTCTGATTAGTTTCTGAACTCAGTAAAGCCCTGGATGAGCACACAACACTGCTGCTGACTGCCACTGGTGCCAGAATGAAGGCTGTACTTGGGAAGCATATGTAGCTGGATAAAAATAAACAAATCACTTAAGCTCATCTTCTTAATCCTGAGCATAACTTAGCTGGCAACTTCCCACCAAGTTTCCTACCTTCAAACTCCCTGGCTCCAGTGCTTTTTTCTTACCCAGGAAGGCTGGTAGGAAGCCCGCAGACTCCCAGTATTTTATACAGATTACCCAGGACGTCCTGAAACCCACATCTCTCGCTAGGATCTGTTCAAGTGACTTCTGAAAGCACTTCTGTGACTCAGCAGAGCTTCATCCGGTTACCCTGAGCCAGATCTCCACAGCTCAAAGTCCACCTGGGCTCTGTGCTACCTCTGGAGAACAACCTGTAGCTCCCAGTAGGTATTTTTTCTCACTTCTATAATGACAACAGAGGTTGCAAAGAATCTTTTTCCTGTCCTTTTGCTAAAGGTTACTGGCCTGCTTTGCTTCTCTGTAGCCATTTCCTCCCTGCTTTAGGGAAGTCTCTTTTTTTGCAGAAAAATAGCATTAGTTTACCCAGCTCCCCCAGGACAGATATTTTGAAACTGGGCTGGAAAGGTTATTCCTTAACAAAACAACCTGCTTTTATAAGGTGTAAGTTGAAGTGCAAACCACTCCAAGCGGAACAGGGAAGTCGCAGTTAACTGCTAAACCAGAGAGCTACAGTAAGGCATTCATGCCTTGAAAACAAAAACCCAGCTGAAGTCCTCTCTGCATGAGATTAGAGATCTAGCTTCGATGTTGGTTTACCACATACCCAGAACGGCTGGGAGAAAAAGCTAACAGAAAAGTCAAAACAGGGGAAAAAGCACGGAGACCATTAGCTTGCTTTGCCACTACTAAAGGACACGCTTCAGAGGACGAGGGACTTTACAGTTAATCCCTAAGCCCTACTTAGAGTTGCCTCAGAGGGCTTTGCTGTTTATTCTGGGCTTCCTCGGCCAGGGAAAAGTGAAAGCTTTGAGTTGCCTTCACTCATGACTTGCTGTCCTGCAGCAAGCGAGGTCCTGCCTTGGTCAGCCAAGCCCCGGGTGCCCCTTCAGCGTGGCTGGGATAATGATCGCTGCGTTTTGAGGACAGTTGATTCTCAGGTGGCCTGGGCCATGGGGAAAAAACACTGAGTACCAATGGCTACGGTGTTTTATAGACACACTCCTACAGATAACAGACTAATATGCTTTTATCAGGTATCAGTTTGCAATAATCCTCTGCTAAGAACGTATGTGGCACAAACCCAAGACCAGCTGTAAAAGAATTTTGCTTCTAATTAAGCAATGATTTAACAAGGCTTTTCTGTAGCCTTGAGGACCAAGTAACTTCCTACGAGGAATTTAAGAACCCATTATAAAATATCCAAGCTATAAAAAGGATCTGAGTGGTAATAAATCACTCCATCTTCCTTTGTCTGAATATTATCTCCAGCACTTTGCTGTCAGGGACTGAAGAGCTGCTGTCACCTGGCCCAGAGAAGCTACTGTGCAGAGATCTGGCTATACAAGACACACTCCTGCAAAAAAGAGCATCATCCCCAAAATGAACGTGATCTAAACCACATGAGATTTAAGCCAGAACCCTGAATAACTTCTTGTTACTACAGGTGGGCTACAGAGGAACAGGTATTGGCCTGGAGCATACAAATGGGACCAGAAGTGGTTCACCGTGTTGTGAAAGGGGATGAGGACACCACCGCACGCTGCAGCCCAGGTCCGTGGGTACCACATCGCTCAGCCCGCGCTGCCACTGGCGATGCCGGGATTCAGAAGGGAAAGGACCAGAGCAGGAACAGGCTGGGGCGAGAGGGAAACAAGGCTCTGGTGCGAGCACGTCAGAGGCACCCGTGGTAGCTCCAGAGATGGGTTAGATCTGATGGAGCGATTGATTTGCAAACGTGCATCATCCATCAGAGCTGCGATGATGTAAAGCCTTACGGGAGCCAGGGTCGGTGGGGATAGCATTAGCCTAACGTAGAATCTTGATTTATAGCGCTGGCAATTGGTCTTTCTTTATCCATTACTTTTTATGATAGATAAGAAGTTGGGTTTATTACATGCAACATTTATTTAAAGCTTTTAAATCATCTCTGCATGGAGGCAGCGTTACTCTCCCCGGTCCTTCCCACGCTCCCGTCCTGCTGGAGGCACGCTCTCCCTCAGTGACTGATGGGGAG